GCTGAGCCATGTATTGTATTCTCCATAGACTAATAGACTATATGTAAACTGTAAAGCTGTATTTGCTAGAAGATTAATGTTACTTTATGTATAAGGTAACTATTACTGAGAGTAAATATTCTCAACATCATAAAATTATCAAACACTCATTTAGCACTAACTAAAATTAATAGTCAACATTAATAAACTACTATTCTATTGTTGCCAGTGTCACAAATGTAAAGGAAATGATCTTGATCAAATGTTATTCCAAAATTAGGGGCATTAAATCGCTTTTCCCCATCTCCTCTTCCTCCAAAGCTACACAGAAACAGGCCATCACTAGTGAAGACTGAAACACGATGATTACCATACTCACTAACATACACCAGACCAGTAGTGTCTACTGTAATACCTGCTGGATAATTAAGCTGGCCAGGACCAGACCCTTGACCACCAAACTGACAAACATAATTGCCATCATGAGTAAAGTTAGTAAACTTCTGAATGCGATTATTATTGCAATCAGTAACATAAACAAATCCTTCTTTATCTATAGCAACATCAACAGGATTGCTAAATTCCCCATTGCCAGTTCCTAATTTACCAAATTTATAGCAAAATGTTAAATCATAATTGAGAACTTGTACACGACAATTGTCCCTATCAATAACATAAATATGTTTCTTTATTGATGAAACAGCAATACTGGTAGGACACTGAAACTGAAATGCCCCAGTGCCCTTACTACCAACTGAAGTAACATACTCACCATCCATACTTATCTTGAGTATCCTGTGATTGTCAGTATCAGCAACAAGAATAAAGCCATCTTCGCTAATGGCCACTCCATAATTAGAAGAAAATGTTATATCGTTAGTTCCTTTACCAAACGATTTTAGTTTCTTTCCATCTTTACTCAGTACACTAACAATATAAGAATCATCCTCTGACTCTGATACTATAATATGCCCATCATCACTGACAGTAATACCACGAGGACGATTAACACCATTTATCGTACGAATGGGAGCTACATGTTCATCATAAGGATTGAATGGTATTGTAAAGGAAGATGATTTCAATTGAACGCCAAGAGCTGTCACGTGAACTTGATGATGTCCTCTAATAATAGGATTATATATAACCTGGTAAACTCCTGGTTTATCAGTAGAGATCATTTTAGCATTAATGACTTGACAAAGCTTAGTAGCAGTATCAGGTATAATATTGAAAGAGAGAGAAGAGGCTGGTAAGACTAAAAGAGATCTTTCATCGTCTGGTGATTCTATTGATAGTTGAAATGATATTGCATGATCTTTTGGTATATGCTTAATGGCAGTGATCTCCTTTACTTTATACTCCTCCAGTCCAGCACTAGATACTATTCTACCAACATGATGACTGATGGAGTCATTGTTGCTTCTAATAAACTGTATATCAGCTTTCTCTATTGGATCAAACTCTTCTATCTCATCTGAGGCATTGAGACTCTCTTCCTTCTGCTTCTCAAGCAACTGGAGCTTCCTAGCCACAATCTCATCAATTTCTTTTACAAACTTGTCCTCAATGGTGCTTTTGAGCAGTGACCTTATCTCTTTCTTCACTGCTTCTGCTTGCTTTCTTATCTCAGCCTCTCTTCCTTTGGTAATAGACAGAATGGTCTTCACATGTGAAGCAGCTTTGTCAATAGGTGACTCATCATTCAACGATCCTACTATAACATGATCAGCAAAAGGAGACCAATTCTTATGCATATCAATGCATTGCTGGCATATCGATAGATTACATTCCTTACAATATCCACAAACATCAAGATTAGCACAATTGTCACACTTGACATGCACTGATAGACTATCATACATTTGCTTTAACTCGACAATCTGAGGTGCCACAGAAAAGCCAGCAGCTCCAGCATAGTCTGGTAGCTCAGTGTGTTGATGACAGGTAGGGCAGGCCACAGAGAAGGTAGGGATGGTAGCTAATCCCTCAATACACTGCTGACAGAATGAATGGTGACAAGAGAGTGTCTTGGGTTTAGTGAAGACATTGAAACACTTGCCACAAGTTACTTGTTCCTGTAGTTTCATAAGAGGAACAGACACTTCCTTACCAGCCATGATACACAATAAGAAGCAAATGACAAACAAAGAGGGCTTATTTCCAATTGATGCACATAATAAAATTTATGGTTGACATTACACTCCTGAAAATGACCAAATAAGGAATCATGGCAATGTAGTATTCAGATGTGTAAATAAAATGTATAAAGGTATATATAACACAATCAATCAAAAAATTTGAGACATGCTTTATGATGTTCAGGTTACCAGTACCGTTATTCTTGTGATAAAGAATGATCATAAACATTGCATTACAAATATTGCTGATGCAATGTACATGTACCGTGTACCATTATTTTAGTTGATAAGAAATTTTGATTGACAATTAGAATTAGTTACGTAAATATTCAGATTCATACCAACAAGAAAATATCAATGATTATTTCATAACTACATCAATAGTTCACACTAATAAACTACTATTCTATTGTTTAAATTGTCACAAACATAGAGGCGGCCATCTTTATCAAACGTTATTCCAACATATGGACTATTGAACTGATCCTTGTTGCTCCCTTTTCCTCCAAAGTGATTCACATACTGGCCATCACTAGTGAAGATTGAGACACGATGATTATTACACTCACTAACAAACACCAGACCAGTAGTGTCTACTGTAATACCTGCTGGATAATTAAGCTGGCCAGGACCAGACCCTTGACCGCCAAACTGACAAATATAATTGCCATCAGGAGTAAACTTCTGAATGCGATGATTACAACTATCAGTGACATAAATGTTTCCTTCT